CTCTAGGCTTACACTTATCATAGCTGCACACCCTGGCAAGTGACTTTTTTCTCCCCCCAGGCACTGAGTAACCGTGGTCAGCACAGCATCTCGTACACGCTGTCCCGGAGCCACTCGGTCATAGTGGAGTATACACATGATAGCGACACAGACATGTTCCAGGTATGCTCAGGCCTCTCCACACACCTCCTGGCCACCAGGCCTCTAGGCTCTGCAAGCATTTCAGGTGAGGCTACAGGATGGGAGGCCATGGGAAAGTTGCTTCCCTCCAGACGAGGAAGCAGGATGTCCCAGTGTGGGCTCTTGACTGCAGAGTCACACAGCAAGTCAGTGGCTGTATCAAGGATCAAACTCAAGACTCCTAGACTGTGGGAGTTCACACAGCTCAGCTCAGGTGTGAGAGGCCTAATGCCTGTGTTCAGATTTTGGCTCCATCACTTACCACTGGGTGACTTTGGGGAAGTATCACTTAAGTTCTGTGGGCCTTGGTTTACTCATCTGTAAAATGAGGCCCATAATAGTACCCACCCCACAGGAAGATTAACTTAGGCATTGCATATAAAATGTTTAGCATGGTGGCTGGCATATGGCAAATAGTTACTCAGAAGTCGCTATCTGCTGCTAACATTTGACCACCCTCTTATAATTCTATCAGCAAATCAACTTGTATTTATTGAATGGGGTGATCCCTAGTGCTGTGGGGGCAACAGAGAAGGAGAAGCTGCTCCAGGCAATGGCTTCTTGGACTTGGAGACCTCACCTGGGAGCCTAGAAGGTCTAAGGAGTTGGTGCTGCCCCCTTCTCAGGACCTGGCAGCCTCCTTTTTTGGTGACCTTGCATACAGAGCAGCTGCCGGAACTGTGGGTGGGGAGGCCTATGAGAGTCCCCTATGTACATGCATTCGCTGCTTGCTTTCCCTGTCCTCACAGATCGGCCGCTCCACAGAGAACATGATTGACTTCGTGGTAACAGACACGTCACCTGGAGGAGGGGCTGCCGAGGGCCCTTCCGCCCAGAGCACCATCTCCCGCTACGCCTGCCGCATCCTCTGTGACCGCCGGCCACCCTATACTGCCCGCATCTATGCAGCTGGCTTCGACGCCTCTAGCAACATCTTCCTTGGAGTGAGTGAGCCCCAGGAAGGGACCAACTCTTCATCTGTGAGGCAAGGGGTAGGCTTGGGAAGTGCAGCATCTTGATGTGATGAACCAGCCCACAGTAATCCAAATGATGGTCCTGGCAGGGCTTAGCAACCCCAGCTAACTGATGAGCAAAGTGAGGCCCAGAGAGACACTTAAGTCATGCAGCTTCAATGCCAGTCCTCTCTGAGCCACCCCTGAACTTGAGGGTAGGGGGGCAGTGCCTCTGGCACATAGCCTGCTGGGGGGCCCCTAGTGGATGTGATCTGATTCCTCATGTGGTCCCAGGAGCGGGCGGCCAAATGGCGGACCCCAGATGGCCTGATGGATGGACTGACCACCAATGGAGTTCTGGTGATGCACCCGGCGGGCGGCTTCTCCGAGGACTCAGCCCCAGGTGTCTGGCGGGAGATCTCAGTCTGTGGGAATGTGTACACATTGCGGGACAGCCGCTCAGCCCAGCAGCGGGGCAAGCTGGTAGGTGGCCTGCTCTATTCCCCACCCTCATCCTTGCCAGGCCCTCACAAGCTGCCCATCCCCCTGCCCAAGCCAGGAGATGATCTCTAGTCCTTCTGCCCCAGGGAGCCCCAACAGGCTCCATGTTGGGGAATCCCAGGCCCAGGGAGTTCTTAGCATGTGCCACAGACAGGCAGACAGACCAGGGTCCCCAAGCATAGTGTGCATACCACTGGAGGTCCAGGGGGTGATGTGATCAAGGCACACACAGACATACTGTGCAGTCCCAGGTGGCTTCGAGGCTGCTGGCAGCTTAAAAAAAAAAAAATCACACCTTCTTATGAGAGTGACACTGGCCCATGTGTAAGCAGTTTATAGCCTAAAGTGTTGGCAGTTTGTAGCATGTCTGTCACATTCAGACAGGTTTAGCACTGTTCTCTCTCAGGAGGAAAGGGTCCTTACAGTAGTTCTGACACAGGTGTTAGTGGCAACTCCTTGTGGTGCAGATCAGAGAGCTGAGGTTAGGGAGCCCAGAGTGAGTCCTAGAGAGAGGCAGGGGCTGTCCAAGGTCACATGGCCATGCTCCTCAAACGGGCCATGCGTTGCTCTTCAGGCATGAGCACATTGTCCAAGGAGATGCAAAACCTCAGAGAAAAGCATGGCTTTTCTTTGCAGAGCATCAACTCTGTGGGGTGGTCTGGGGAAGCATTGTTTGGTAAAATGATGCATGTGAATGTTTCACAAGCCTACTCTTCTTAAGCACTATTTGCCACGCACTGTTCTAAGTTTTTACACTGAATGATTCATTTATTTATTTTTTTAAATTTTTTTTTTTGAGATGGAGTCTCACTCTGTCACCCAGGCTGGAGTGCAATGGCACGATCTCAGCTCACTGCAACCTCCACCTCCTGGGTTCAAGTGATCCTCCTGCCTCAGCCTTCCAAGTAGCTAGGACTACAGGCATGAGCCACCACACCCGGCTAACTTTTTGTATTTAGTAGACATGGGGTTTCACCATGTTGGCCAGGCTGGTCTGGAACTCCTGACCTCAGGTGATCCACCCGCCTCAACCTCCTAAAGTGCTGGGATTACAGGCGTGAGCTACCGTGCCCGGCCTGATCGATTCATTTAATCTTCACGAGAACCACTTGAGATGCCAGAAAGTGCAGTCCATCTTGAGGATGAGGAAACTGAGATGGAGAGAGGTTAAGTTACTTGACCAGGGACAAAGTTAGTCAATGGTAAGGCCAGAATTCAGCCTGGGCAGCCTAGCTCCTGAGTTTTTGCTTTTAACTGTAACTACTGGGATAGTTGGTTTGGGCTAAGTACCCAGCATTCCCTGTTAGCTTTGAGCTAAGTACCCAGCATTCCTTGTTAGAGGCCTTTCCTGCCTCTGTCAGGAGGAGGGCACTTCAGAAAACATCTTATTTTAGAAAAACCCTGTCTGGGTTCAGACTTCCTGATTAGACAGATAGAGAAACCAAGGCCCATGCCCCGCTGGGAGGGGGCGTCAGCATGTGCCTGGGGTGCACCTGCCCGTTCGCTTGGCCTCCCAGCCTGCCTTGCCCCTCTGCCCTGCCTGCCCTGCCAGCCAGGGTGTCCTCTCCAGGGAGGCTCCGTGGGATGGACCCGTGGCTCAGCGGGGGCCTCTTGGACAGTAAGGCCCTTCTACTGCCTCTGGCAGGTGGAAAACGAGTCCAACGTGCTGCAGGACGGCTCTCTCATCGACCTGTGTGGGGCCACACTGCTGTGGCGCACACCGGCGGGGCTGCTGCGGGCTCCCACACTGAAGCAACTGGAGGCCCAGCGGCAGGAGGCAAATGCAGCGCGGCCCCAGTGCCCCGTGGGCCTCAGCACTCTGGCCTTCCCCAGCCCAGCCCGTGGCCGCACAGCACCCGACAAACAGCAGCCATGGGTCTACGTCCGCTGCGGGCACGTCCACGGCTACCACGGCTGGGGCTGCCGGCGGGAGCGGGGCCCCCAGGAGCGCGAATGTCCTCTCTGCCGCCTCGTGGGGCCTTATGTGCCTCTATGGCTTGGCCAGGAGGCCGGCCTCTGCCTGGACCCTGGGCCGCCTAGCCATGCGTTTGCACCTTGTGGCCACGTCTGCTCTGAGAAGACTGCCCGCTACTGGGCCCAGACACCACTGCCCCACGGCACCCACGCTTTCCATGCCGCCTGCCCTTTTTGCGGGGCCTGGCTTACTGGCGAGCATGGCTGCGTCCGCCTCATTTTCCAGGGCCCGCTGGATTAGGCTCCCTGGGGCCCCTTGCTGCTGTGCCCACCTGCCCACCCAGGTCCCCACCTCCTGCAGCCCAGAGGGAGCTCTGCATGTGGGACACTCCCTGCTGGCACAGCCACACCAGATGGACATGTTGGACGGGCTGTGCCCTTCCCCCCAACTGTGGCCCCCCAAGGAGGTCCCCAAGATCTCCACCCCAGTCATGCTGATGGGGCCTTCAGAACCAGCTCTGTCCTGGGTTGATGGAGGAAAGCCCAGCCCCATGGCCTTGCCCTTCCCAGGGCATCCCACATCGTGCCGCTGACACTGTGTGCCCCTGCGGGAGTGAAGGGGCCAGGGGCCCCTGACCCCTAGCTTAGGCTGGCTATGCCCTGAGCCTGCCAACCCAGTTTCAGACACTCATCCTTCCTGCTGCCACCCCGGGTTCCTCTATAAACCTCGCTGCTCAGCTGCCCCCACGAGTCCCATGTGCCCCGCATGCGTGTAATGCCTCCAGCCCCCAAGTGAGTGGTGGGTGGGTGGCAGGCTGGGCCCAGCATTTGCTGACAGCCGCTATGGGCTGGACTCTGTGCTAAGTGGTCTCTGGGGACACAGAGGCAATCAGACCTGGTTCCCCGCCTGGCGGAGTTCACAGTCTAGTGGAGGACAGACTGTTACCAAATGGCAACACGCTTCATGTGTGCTAGGATCAGAGTACGAATCGGGCTGTAGCAGGCCTCACTGGTAATGGAAAAGTGAGGGAGGCTTCACGAAGGAGTTGTCATAGGAGCTCAGCCTCGATGGCTGCTCAGAACCCTTGGGGTCCACAAGATGGGAAGCGTGCTCTATGCAGAAGGGAGGGCCTGTGCGTAGGCTCAGGTGTCAGTAAGCCAGGAATCCAGGGACAGTGTCAGGGTGGCTGGAGCATGGACTGCTGGGGGACAGAGAAGGGGGTGGAGCAAAAGGTTGGGACCATGTGACCAGGGAAGATGCTGGATGGAGGATTCTGAACCTCATTTGTGGATGGTCAGGAGTCAACAAAGGGAGGAGAGAGGACTCACTGGTCAAGAGTGTGTCGGCTGTGACACAAGGGCCATCATCCCTGAATGCCCACCACGTGCCCTGCACTGCGCTGATGATGATAATAATAACTACGTCCATTGAGCACTCTCCAGACACCTGGCTCTGCTTCTTGGAGGTTTTGTTATTTAATCCTCACAGTAACCCAAGAAGGGAGGTGTTGCCATTTGTGTCTCTGAGGAGATGAGGGCAGATGCACCAAGTCGCACAACTAGAAAGTGGCCAAGTCAGGATTTGAATCCACAGCTGCTCCTCTCCATCACAGTGTTGCTTTCCTTCAACAGAGGTGGGGGTGAACCGAGCAGGGTTTTGGATACTGGATTGGTGGACACCTACCTGCTTTGTGCCCAGCCCTGTGCAGGGCCACTGCAGTGGGCAAGGCCCTGCCTCTCGCAGCCCAAGGTCTGCAGAGGGACCTACCCATGCTTGTTGGAAGTTGACCCTCACACCTGTGCTGGCCACTTGTACCCCAGGCTAGGATGCAATGGGCTATCAGCCAGGCTGGAAGTGTTCCGAGGAGTGAGAACCAGGGGCTCTAGAAGGCCCAGGGAGGACCTGGAGCCTGAGTCAAGTCTTGAATGGCAGAGCATCTCTAGAGGCAGGGAGGAGTTGGGAGGGCAGCCAAGGTGAGGAGAACAGCATGGCATGGCAGGGAACATGCCTGGTGTGGAGGGGGGCAAGCAAAAAGGAATGGGGGGTAGGGAAGGTTGCTGAGGCCTGGTGGGCCTTGATTGCCATGGAAGCCAAGCCTGAACTGGATTCCTGGTCATCCTGGTCACAGGTGGGCGTGTTGCTGGGGTTGCCCCAGACCATTCCTGGGGAGAGCAAGCCAGGAAGACAGGTAGACGGCTGTTCTGGAGAGGAAGAGAAGAAGGCTCTGAGTATAGACCTGACCTGGGCATCATCCCCAGTAGATGGCAGAGCCTAGGGGAGTCCAGATTCCAAGGGGAGGGATGGACCTGCCCAAGGTCACACAGCTGGTTGGGACCAGGGAGATGAGACCTGGGCTATTGAGAAGACAGACGGCACCCACATGTTATGAGGAGGAGGGTGTGGTCAGATTCTTGCTTCCAGAGCATGGCACTGCTGCAGTGGGGGCGGAGGGGAGGGTGGGGATGCTGCAGGAGGTGTGGGAGCATTCCAACTTCTCTCCCCTCAACATACAACACACAACACTCAAAATCCAACTCAGAATTTCAAGTTCTCTCTTCTGATCCTGTTGGGAACCAGGCAGGGGAACAATTTTTTTTTTTTTTTTTTTTTTGAGACCGAGTCTCGCTCTGTCACCCAGGCTGGAGTGCAGTGGCGCGATCTCGGCTTACTGCGAGCTCCGCCTCCTGGGTTCACGCCATTCTCCTGGCTCAGCCTCCTGAGTAGCTGGGACTACAGGCGCCCGCCACCATGCCTGGCTAATTTTTTGTATTTTTAGTAGAGATGGGGTTTCACCGTGTTAGCCAAGATGGTCTCGATCTCCTGACCTCATGATCCGCCCACCTCGGCCTCCCAAAGTGCTGGGATTACAGGCTTGAGCCACCGCGCCTGGCCTAGGCAGGGAACATTCTGATCCCATTTCCAGTGGGGAACCTCCGACCCTAGGAGGAGAGACCAGCAAAGGGCACCACCCTAGATGCTGGGGAGGACTCAGAGGTATTGGTGGATGGGGTCAGACAGCCCTGGTCTTGTCCCAGCTCTGCCTTTGCCAGCTCTTAGAGCCTCAGCTTCCTCAGTGCTAAAGGGGATAACAGTCGCTACCTCACCAGGTGGTTGTGAATATATGGAGGGCACCTGTAACACAGTTGATTCATGTTGCTCCTCACCGACCCCTTTTTCATTCCCATGGGGAACAGCCAAGACTGGGGAGTTATGACTCCAGTGATAGACTGCTCCATGTGAGTGACTGTGTGTGTGTATCTGTGTGTTGGGGTCAGGGACACCTGAACTGTGTGGTGTTATAGGAGTCAGTGAACCTCTTAGCCTCAGTTTCCCTATCTGTACAATGGGTAAAGTGATGATACCTCAGGATTTTTGCAAGAATTAAATGACGTCCTCTATGCCAAACTGGTAGCAAGGGACCTCAGGACATGCTCATGTTATCTGTGATCATAAAAATGTGATCTCGTAGCTTGGTTGGGGGTTCCAAGAGTACTGGGATCTTTTCCTCGCCTGAGCTGTCCCCTGCTGGCAGTGGACAGCACTACCTCCCTTACTTGTGCACATTTCAACTTCACCTGTCAGCCAACTTTATACCCATTTTAAAGACAATGAAAATGGAGGCAAAGGAAAGAAGGGTGACTTTCCTGAGGACACTGACCAACTTGTTGAACTCCTTCATATAACAAGTCATCATCAAAGCTAACAGCTTGTAACACTTGTGTCAAGCAGGGCCTTGGGCACTTTTGCGGATGAGAAACTGGTGTCTATGGTAAGCAGACGCTGCCTGGCCTAGACACAGGCATGGCAAGGAGACTGTGTGGGACTTCAGTACCCAAACGCCCCTCACCCTGCGCAACTATAGGGGGCGGCACTGCAGCCAACACATCACAACTTACAATATTCCTTGGATTGGATTCAATTATTAGCCTGGTTTTCCAGTTCATAAAGCCAAGACTCCCAGACAACCTCGCTCCACCCCCAGTCTGACCCTGGGCCCTCACCGCTACTCCCCATTCGGCCTAGGCCCTTCCACATGCCCCACCCAGACCGTGGTTTTGTGAGTCCGTCCAGACCTGTAAAAGTGGACTGCAGGCCCGCCTCTGCTCTGGACTCCCTTTCAGGGCTGCAGGAAGCTTTCTGATCCATCAGGCATCTGACAAGCCCCAGGAAACTGCCAGCCTGTTTGTGCTAAGGAAACTGAGGCTCGGGAATGTTTAGCGGCTGCTTCCAGGCCCGTGGCGGGTGGGTGGTGGTACAGTGAAGCACTCGAGGCATTTCTCCGCGCCCCAACACGGGTGAGACCACCTCAGCCCTGGCCCGAGCCCACTCGACCGTAGCCTCGATTCCCGGCACCGAGAGCTTTGCAACTTCCAAGTCTCCACTCCCAGGCCCCGAGTCCCGAGAGTGAGGGGGAGCCACGTTACTCCTATTGTGTAGGTTCCCACCTGCAAGAGTGAGGTTGGGGCCGCTGGGGTGAAACCCCAAAGGAAAGCGGGATCGGGACTGAGGGAGGGGGATTCCCAAGTCCCTGACACCAGCGCCGGGTCAGCCTGGGCTTGGTGACCTCGTCAGTTCCGTCTGTCGGGACTAGGCCGCGACCAGGCCGGGCACAGAGGCACCCGGTCCGGCGCGTGTGCGGCCTGCAGACAAAAGGCCGAGCCCGCAGGGCCAACCCGCGCACCACCCCGTAGCGACTGGGGGCGGGAGCCGGAGAGCCGAGAAGCTCGTCTCGGCGCGTCTATTGGCTGGTATTGACGCCCATCCGGACCCCGAGGCCAGGCAGTTGGCCAAGGGGGGCGGGGTTTGCAGAGCCCCAATGAATGGGGGAGCCGGAAGCAGGAAGTGAGTTTGCGAACGGAGCAGCTGCTGCAGGTGAGGCGCGGCGCCTGGGTTTTGGGGATCCCAGTGTGTCATCCTGGGGGACCAAGGCGAATCTGTACTGAGCGCAAAATCATTCCCTTTCTGCCCACTCTCCAGTACCTCCTCCAAATTCACCCCGCCCTCGAGGCCAAAGAGCGCTCCGGGGAGCAAAGAGTTAACAGCCCTTTCCGAATCTTGAGGATGTGCTATTGGGGCGGAGCTTCTGGAGTCCGGGGCAGGGCGGGGAGGCTGGAAACTCTGTCCCAGCCGGGAAGGGGCGTGGCGGGGAGAAGGCCCCGGGTTGGGGAATCCCCGGGTTCCAACGGGGCTGTCAGACCTTCAGTAAATTGTTGGCCTTTCCAAGCCTCAGTTTCCCTATCTGTAAAATGGGTTTTCTTCCGGTTGTAACTTCTGGGGCTTCCCTGGCGGAGCACAGGGAGAGAGCAGGAGAATGGAGGGATGAGGAAAGGCGGTTAGAGGGATGAGAATGGGACAGGTGCAAGGAAAATCATTTATTGCTGTGGATATTTTCCGTACAGGCGACCTCATCTGATTAGCGCACCCACCTGGTAATACTGAGGTTATTCCCTCTTTTACAGAGGAGGAAACGGAGGTGCAGAAAAGTAAAGCAATGGAAGTCTGGGGCCAAGTCCTGGCTAAAGGCTGAGCCTTCCAGGTGGCGGCCTGGAACTTTATCCTTGTGAGCCCAGTGGAAAGTGTGAAGAATTCTGAACAAAGGCCAGGCGCGGCACCTGTAATCTCAGCACTTGGGAGGCCGAGGCAAGCGGATTTGAGGCCAGGAGTTCCAGACCAGCCTGGACAAAATAGCGAGACCTGCCCCCCATCTCTACCAAAAATGCAAAAAATTAGCTGGGCGTGGTGATGCACGCCTGTAGTCCCAGCTACTTTGGAGGCTGAGGCAGGAGAATCACTTGAACTCGGGAGGCGGAGATTACTGTGAGTCAGGATCATGCCACTGCACTTCAGGCTGGGCAACAAAGTGAGACTCCATCTCAATAAAAGAATACTGAACAAGGAAGCAGGGAGGGGCCTGGGCTGGGAGCCTAGAGATGAGAATCTCTGCTGCTGATGTCTCCATTGTGGGATTAGGCAAGGCTCTGAGCCTGAGCCTCAGTTTCCCCATCTGTAATACTAGGTAGTTAGGTCAATCTATTTTTTTTTTTTTTTTTTTTTTTTGAGATGGAGTCTCACTCTGTCACTCAGGCTGGAGTGCAATGGTACAAGGCTCACTGCAGCCTCCGCCTCCTGGGTTCAAGTGATTCTCCTGCCTCAGCCTTCCCAGTAGCTGAGATTACAGGCACCCGCCACCACACCTGGCTAATTTTTGTATTTTTAGTAGAGAGGAGGTTTCACCACATTGGTCAGGCTGGTCTTGAACTCTTGACCTCAGGTGATCCACCCACCTCGGCCTCCCAAAGTGCTAGGATTACAGGTGTGAGCCTCCGTGCCTGACCTTAGAATCAATCTTTAACGTTTAGGGACTACAGGCCAAATATGGTACACCAGTGTATTTTGTGACCCCTTGGGTGAGTCATCTGACCTCTGAGCCTCAGTTAGCATATCTGGTGAATGGGTACAATAATATTCCCTTCCATGTGGGCTTTTGGGAGGATTAAATGAGATTATAAGAGTTCAGAGCCAGGTATGCAATTGATATGGGGTAAACAACAGCTGTGATGACAGTGATGGTTCTCAGCAGGGCCCATGGCGGACACCCAGTACATCCTGCCCAATGACATCGGCGTGTCTAGCCTGGACTGCCGTGAGGCCTTCCGCCTGCTGTCACCCACAGAGCGCCTCTATGCCCACCACCTGTCCCGTGCTGCCTGGTATGGAGGCCTGGCTGTGCTGCTTCAGACCTCCCCCGAGGCCCCTTACATCTATGCTCTGCTCAGCCGCCTCTTCCGCGCGCAGGACCCCGACCAGCTGCGCCAACATGCCCTGGCTGAGGGCCTTACCGAGGAGGAGTATCAGGTTAGTTCCCTTGGGCCAACCTGCATTTCCTGAGTGGCTTCTGGGTGTGAAAGACCAGGATGCAAATGTCTGTCTCTTTCAAGGGGTAGGTGGAGGATTAGACCAAAGGTTACAAATTGAGGCACTTCCCCTCTCTGGAGCCTCAGTCTTCTCATCTGTAAAATATGCATGTGGGATGTCTGTACCTCTTAGTGTTGTGATGACCCACTTAGAACAGTGCCTGACTTCAAGATAAATGATAGCTGCTGTGATCATAACAAAAGAAACTGGTGGAGATTCAGGGAAGGAGAGGAAAGAGTCCAGAGTAGGTATCAGGAGGTCTGAATTCAGGACCAGTTCTTCTCTACCACACTATGTGGCCCTGGGCAGAATGTTCTGCCTGTCCCTTGGTTTTTGTTTTTGGACATATCGGCCAGGTAATACACGAATTCTTAGTGCATTGCAGCAATGCAGAAAGACACAAAAAACACAAAGATCACTCATTCTGTGCCCTCCTCAGAGGTAACCCACTGAGGCTGGTACAGCCTTTTCTTTCTCCTTTTTTTTTTTTTTTTTTGTCACAGAGTCTTATTCTGTCACCCAGCCTGGAGTGCAGTGGTGCAATCTTGGCTCACTGCAAACCTCCACCTCCCAGGTTCAAGCATTTCTCATGCCTCAGCCTCCCAAGTAGCTAGAACTACAGGTATGTGCCACCACGCCGGGCTAATTTTTGTATTTTTAGTAGAGATGGGTTTTCACCATGTTGCCCAGGCTGGTCTTGAACTCCTGGCCTCAAGTGATCCACTTGCCTTAACCTCCCAAAGTGCTGGGATTACAGGCGTGAACCACCGTGCCTGGTTTTGGTTACAGCCTTTTCAATCCCGTCTGTGTATTACATACCTATATGTGTATATGCATGGCGAATCAGTTCCTTATTTTCTCTTTTATAGAAATGAGATGATGTTCTTTTCCTGCTTTGTGTCCTGCTTTTTCCATTGAATGCCATGTCTTGGAGAACTTGGAGAATGGGGTACATTTAAATGTACCTCATTCTTTATTATTGACTGTGAAGTATTCCACAGCAGTGTACACTATAATCAATTTCATCTTTATTTCTGGACATTTAGCTTGTCCCGTTTTTCTTACAAACAGTGCCATGGTGAGCATACTTGTGCATACATGTGAGGGGGATCTGTTTCTAGAAAGAGAACTGCTGGGTCAAGGGCTCTATACATTTACAATTCACTGATTCTGTTAAATCATCTTCTAAAAAACTTTCACTGCATTATATTCCCACCAAGAGTGTACAGGAATATGGCCCGTTTTTCTATATGGGAAATAAAGGGATTGGATTGTTTCTCTCTGAGCTGACGTGCTGTTTAGTCTACCTCTTTTGAAGTCTGGGCATGCACTTCCCATCTTGGGCCATGGCTTACTCATTAAAAGAGCTAATATCTGTGGAAATATTTATAAACGGAAGGTGCAACCCAAGCATTACTATTTTCAGGGAAATTCTTTTTTTTTTTTTTTTTGAGACAGTCTTGCTCTGTCACCAGGCTGGAGTGCAGTGGCACAGTCTTGGCTCACTGCAACCTCCAACTCCCTGGTTCAAGCGATTCTCCTGCTTCAGGCTCCAGAGTAACTGGTATTACAGGCACGCACCACCACACCCAGCTAATTTTTGTATTTTTAGTAGAGATAGGGTTTCACCATGTTGGCCAGGATGGTGTCAATCTCCTGACCTCGTGATCTGCCTGCCTCAGCCTCCCAGAGTGCTTGGGATTACAGGCGTGGGCGCCAGCCATTCAGGGAAATTCATGTTTGCAAGTGGCAGAAACCCAGCTCAAATTGGCTTACGTGAAAAGGAGAATTGTTGGGTCACATGATTGAAAAGTCCAGGTCTAGAGGAAGTTTCAGGCATGGCTGGACTCAGGGACTCAGTGCTACCACTGGGATGCAGTCTTCATCTCTCAGCTTGCTTGCTTGCTTTTCTTGCTCCCGGAGGGGGAGCTCCAGGGGTTCCAGGCCTGATGATACCTGGTGTACACAGGCTCTTTGCCAATGGGAAATGTCGTGGGTAGCGCTCTTATGCCAGCTTGAGCCTTGTGCCCATCCTGTAGCCAAGGATGGTGGTTTCTCAGACTGGCCAAGCCAGCTTACATGCCCAACCCTGGGGCTGGGGGAAGGGAGATCCCCCACCCTCCCACCCACAAAAGGAGGATTGAGGTCTTATTACCAGAGGAAGATCTGGGGCCAGCAGAAGCCATAGAATAGATAGATGATTAAGGCCCCTCTGGCTCTAACATGTGATGCTTCCGAGGCCAGCTGCCTGACAGGTCAGAGGCTGAGGACAGGCTCCCAGGAGAAAGAGGGAGGTGGTGCTGGAACTGGGCCTTAAAGGACACAGTAGTCTCAGGTGGCTGAGAGGGTGCTGGGGTGGAGAGGGCAAAGGCAGACGAACACTTGGGTGTGTTTGGGAACTGCCCAGAAGATCAGTTAGGCTGGACAGCGGGGGTGTGAAAATGGGTCTGTGAAAGTGAGTGTGGGCCAGACTGGGGCTTCCCAGGACCTGGGTCCTGCCCGCACATTTTCCAGCCTCATCCACACTGGCTCTGCTGGGGCATTCGCATCTCAGGAGGGGGTGTTGCTGGGGTCAGGGAGGCTGTGCTTCCTGCGTCTCTGATGCCTGTCTCCCCACTCAGGCGTTCCTGGTCTATGCCGCGGGTGTTTACTCCAACATGGGCAACTACAAGTCCTTTGGTGACACCAAGTTTGTTCCCAACTTGCCCAAGGTGAGCCAAAGGAAGGTTGGGGAAGGTGGGGATGGGGGCTGGTGGGGTAGGGGTGGAGAATGCAGTAGAAGGAGCCCCTACTGGAGTGTCAGAAGCCCTGAGCAGAACGTGGACCCTGTCGCTGCCACCCTGCATGACTGTGAGTGCCACCAACCTCACTGGGTGCCGCGGCCTCTTCGTGTATAAAGGAAAAGTACAACTCTCCCTGACTGCTGATCTGCAGGCCGAACAAGGGCGAGATGTGGAAGTGTTCTGTGAACTTTCAGGTGCTCTCAAAAATGGAGCTTGTTGGTCATCACCAGGAACAGTGGGAAATACTGGGCTGGGGGCATCCCTCCCGGGATTATGAGACTTGAGCCTATCTAGGGCAGAGGTGGTTCTTACAGCAGGTATAAGAGCTGGGACTTTAACATGCATACAAGTCACTTGGCGGTCATGCTGACATGCGGCATCTGATTCAGCAGGTCTGTGGTGGACCCAAGATTTGACATTTTTGCTTTGAGACAGGGTCTTGCTCTGTCACCCAAGCTGAAGTGCAGGGGTGTGATCATGACTCACTTCAGCATCAACCTCCTGGACTCAAGTGGTCCTCCTGTATTAGCCTCCCAAGTAGTTGGGAATATGGGTGTGCAGCACCACACCAGCTAAATTTTCTTTTCTTTTTTTGAGATAGGGTCTCACTCTGTCACTCAGGCTAGAGGGCAGTGGCACAGATACAGCTCACTGCAACCTCAACTTCCTAGGCTCAAGTGATCCTCCTCAGCTTCCAGAGTAGCTGGTACCACAGATGCCTGCCGCTGTGACGCTTGGCTAATTTTTAAAAATTTTTTGTAGTGACAGAATGCCACTGTGTTACCCAAGCTGGTCTTGAACTCCTGGATTCAAGCAATTCTCACACCTTGGCCTCCCAAAATGCTAGGATTACAGGCATGAGCCACTGCGTCTGGCCTAATTTTTTTTATTCTTTGTAGAGATGGGGGTCTGTCTATGTTGCCCAGGCTTGTCTTGAACTCCTGGCCTCAAGTATCTCTCCCTCCTCTGCCTCCCAAAGTGCTGGGATTATAGGCATGAGCCACCACACATGGAGGCTTGACATTTCTCAGGCCCTGCTAGTGCTGCTGGTCCACGGATCACACAATGAGCCAAAGCTCTTAGACCATGGGAGAAGAGCTTAGGAGTGGATAGGGAGGCTCTGGAAGGCAGGTTTGGGTGGTGTGACTGGGCCATTGGCTTCCCTTTCCCTGTAGGAAAAGCTGGAACAGGTGATCCTAGGGAGTGAGGCCGCTCAGCAGCACCCCGAAGAAGTCAGGGGCCTCTGGCAGACCTGTGGGGAGCTTATGTTCTCTCTGGAGCCAAGGCTTCGACACCTCGGACTGGGGAAGGAGGTGAGGCCCCTGACTCCCCCGAGGGGACAGGGAGCAGAGGGAATTCTTTGAGGCCACCTGGAAAGGAGGGAAGGAAAGGGGATGGAGAGGCAGTGGGCTCTGCCTCACACTCCTGAGGCAATGCTGCTCCCCACTGCAGGCCTCAGTTTTGTCATCTGTAGAATGGTAAGCAGGTTGGGTCAAATGCTTTCTGAATGCCCTCCCAGATCTGACATTCTGCACACCGGATGCCATGTGCTGATGGAGGGAAGGAGAGGAAGGCTGGAGGTGGAGGGAGCTGAGGAGGGGACAGCAGGGAAGGAGGGGGGTCCCAGGTTTCCCACCTCTGGAGGCCGCATCCATTGCATGGGACGAGGACCTTGGGAAGCCTTAGGGGTGGGCCAGCCTGAGAGAGGCACGGGCAGGGCTGCAGGAATGCTGGAAATGAGCATCTGTTTGTTTTATAACTTTTTCCCCGAAAGTAGATGGAGGGGTAAGCGGTAGACGCTGCTGGAAGGAGGGAGGGGCAGGAAGCCTGGGAAGATGACGTCCCTGCAGCACTGACCTCGGTACCTCCTCTTTCTCCTGTCCCCTCTCTTCCCCAACAGGGAATCACCACCTATTTCTCTGGGAATTGTACCATGGAAGATGCCAAATTGGCCCAGGACTTTCTGGACTCACAGGTTTGGGGTTAGGGGAGCTCAAGGTAGCAGAGGTTTGGTGGAGTTCCTAGTCCCAGCCCCCTCACAACTGGTGACCACTCCTGGGTCTCTGCTTGACTACTCCCTGCTAACTAGGGAAGGTACCACCCCTGCCCACCCCAGGCTGTAGAGCCTAATGACAGCCTCAGGGCTGGGCGAGGAACCAGGACCTCAGGCCACAGGGGTGTGAGGCTCTGGGGTCCACGTGTCAGTGGAGCTCCCAGCTTAGCCACTCACCAGCCATGTGATCAGTTTCCATGTCTGTGAAGTAGTACCCACCTCCAGTAACCCTGGGTTCGCAGAGGCCATGCAGTGCCTGGCATAGTGGTTGGAGTCAGTGCTTAGTAGAAGTGCACAGTGTCCCGAGCAGAGCAGGAGAGTCGGCCCTGGGCTGCCCACTCCCACTCTCTCCCGCTCCTCCCAGCCAACCTGGAAGGCCCAGCCTGCTTTGCCTTCATGCCTTCTCCCCGGGGGGTGACCCATTTTCCTTCCTCCCACCCCACTGGCCTCTCCAGACCTCACTCTCAACCCCTGCCCTGGTCTCTTCTAGAACCTCAGTGCCTATAACACCCGGCTCTTCAAAGAGGTTGATGGAGAAGGGAAGCCCCACTACGAGGTGCGGCTGGCTTCTGTGCTTGGCTCAGGTGAGCTTAGCCCCAGGCTTCCCTTCTGCTCCCTCCCAGGCATTTCTGGACCTGGATGGCTCAGGTCCTGCCAGCCCTGCCACTCCCGCACAAAGAGGATCCTTCTCTCCCAGGAGTTTCTACATAAGGCCTGGGAATGGCTCTAGTTTCTCTGTATCAGTCCCCTATTTGTCTGTGAACCAATCCCTGAGGGCTGGCAAGGGACAGGTCTCTGATGGGTTCAACCTGGTCTCAAGCCTACCCTGGAGTCAGGCGATGAGGTTGGCCCTTCAGGCCAGGCGTGGCAGCTCATACCTGCAATCCCAGCACTTTGGGAGGCTAAGGCAGGTGAATCACCTAAGGTTGGGAGTTTGAGACCAGCCTGGCCAACATGGTGAAACACCGTCTCTACTAAAAATATAGAAATTAGCCAGGCATGGTGGCATGTGCCTGTAATTCCAGATACTTGGGAGCCTGAGGCAGGAGAATCGCTTGAACCCAGGAGGCAGAGGTTGCAGTGAACCAAGATCTCACCACTGCACTCCAGCCTGGGTGACAGAGCAAAGCTCCAGGTCAAAAAAAAAAAAAAAAAAAGAGACTGGCCCTTTCCAAACCAACTGCACTTGGGGTAGTAGTAGTGGGACCTGGGGTGATATTCTCAAGGGGAAATTGGGGTCCATTCCCAGGAGAGAGGAAATAGTGTGGACAGAAGTGTCCAGGCCTTTATGAAGACTTTTGCCACCTGGCTCTTTTTCCCCACCTGCACCCCAGCCCCTGCTTCATCTCCATATCCTCCCACTTAGACTCTGTGCTCTGGCCATGCTCAACAGCATCCAGTTCTCACAGACCCTTTCTAGGTCTTTTGTTTTTGTTTTTGTTTTTGTTTTTTGAGACAGAGTCTTGCTGTGTTGCCCAGGCTGGAGTGCCCAGGCTAGAGTGTAGTGGTGCGACCTTGGTTCACTGCAACCTCTGCCTCCCGGGTTCAAGCGATTCTCCTGCCTCAGCCTCCAGAGTAGCTGGGATTGCAGGCGCCCATCACCACACCTGGCTAATTTTTGTATTTTTAGTAGAGACGAGGTTTTGCCATTTGGCCATGCTGGTCCCAAACTCCTGACCTCAGGTGATCCGCCTGCCTCTCGGCCTCCCAATGTGCTGGATTATAGGCATGAGCCACCGCGCCTGGCCCCTGTCCAGGTCTTTGCACAATCTATTCCCCACTTCCCATGCGGAACCCCCTCCAGCCTCTCCTTGTCCCCTGGCTACCTCCTCCCCATCCTCTAGGCCATGCATGGACATTGCCTTCCCCAGGACCTTTCCCCATCTTCCCATAACTGAGTCCATGCCCTTCTCTCTTCCCATTGGCACACTCAGTAGCTCTCCTGACTACAAGCTCCGTGAGAGAAGGGCCTGTGTGTTTCATCCACTGTTGTCTCCCTGGTGCCCAGCGCTTGGTGGATCTGAGCTTCCACCGGGGAGATGATGGCAGATGTGGGTTCAGAGGAACAGGAGTTGATCTCACTGGAATATAAGCTGGGCTTATACTTACAGTACAGGATGCAGTGTCAGGCAGTGGTTGAATGTGGCCCTGGAGCCGGGCTGCCTGAGTGGGTCATTATCTATTGCTGTGGAACAAATGCTCCCCAAATGTAGTGACACAAAACCGCCTTTTCATGCTCACGGACACTGGGTCAGGAATTCAGGTAGAGCACAGTAGGAACAGCCGGTTGCTGGGTGACTGTGTCTGGGGCCTCAGCTGGGAAGACTCGACAGCTTGGGGCCGCAAGCATCCCCAGGCTTATTGGCTCACATGCAGGTGCTGGCTGCCGGCTGGAACCCAGCTGCGCTGTTGACTGAAATACCTCACATGGCACCCTCCTATTGTTTGTGGTAGCTGGGCTCCCAGAGTGAGCCTCCCAGGAGAGCCAGGCGGAAGCCTGCTCACCTTGTGTGACCTGGCCTCAGCACATGGTATCCCTGCTGCTGAAGTCACAGCCTTCCTGGCTTCAGGAGGAGGGAACACATCCCACGTCTCCATGGGCAAAGTCACAGTTGAGCTGGACATGATGGCTCGTACCTGTAATCCCAGCTATTCAGGAGGCTGAGCCAGGAGGATCGCTTGAGCCCAGCAGTCTGAGATCAGCTGGGCAACCTTGCAAGATCCTGTCTCAAATTAAAAAAAAAAAAAAAGGCGTAAGACAGGAAATATTGTGGCTGTTTTTGCTCATTTGTTTGTTTTTACATAGCCTTGAAGTATATTTTATTGATCAGAGACAACAAGGAAAATACAATAGTGTGTAAGCATCCCATTGCTTCTGTAACAAATTGCCACAAATTTAGTGGCACAAAACAACATGAACTTATTACAGTTGCAGGGGTCCAGAGTCTAAAAGCAAGGCTGGGCCGCATTCATTTTGGAGTCTCAGGAGGAACCTACCCCCGCTTGCCTTTTCCAGCTTCTGGAAGGCTGCCCAGCCCCCCAACTTCGCTGCAGCTCCCTTCTGCTATTGTCACAGCTCCTCTTCCCAGCCACCCTCTTGTCTCCCCGTGGGACTTGATTACGTTTGGGATGTGACTGTCTTTTTAAATCCAATCTGCTACTTGCTGTCCACGTGAGCTCTCGATGCTTTAGTTTCCCATCAGTGAAATGGAGATGATAATTTCTGCCTCCCCCCAGAGTTAGAGTGAGGCTTAAAGGAGCTAACACATGGAAAGCACATGTTATGTGATACATATATTTTTGTTTTTTAGTTTTTGGGTTTTTTTGTTTTCGTTTTTGTGTTTGTTTTTTTGAGCTGGAGTCTCTCTCTGTTGCCCAGGCTGGAGTGCAGCAGCGCGATCTCAGCTCACTGCAACCTGTGTCTCCTGGCTTCAAGCGATTTTCCTGCTTCAGCCTCCCAAGTAGCTGGGATTACAGGTGCCCGCCACCACGCCCAGCTAATTTTGTATTTTGAGTAGAGACGGGATTTCACCATGTTGGCCAGACTGGTCATGAACTCCAGACCTCAGGCGATCTGCCCGCCTCGGCCCCCAAAGTGCTGGGATTACAGGTGTGAGCCACCGTGCCCGGCTGATATATATATTTTGGAAGATGAGAGTTTATACTCGTGTCTATTGGCTACAGGGAGCCATTGAAGATCTTAGAGTGAAAGAGTGCTACAGGGAAAAGCTGGCTGAGGTGTCTTACTCCAGCCTTTTCTCTGAGTGATGCCTCTTACTCCGGCCTTTTCTCTGAGTGACACCTTCTTTCCCCAGAGCCTTCCCTGGACTCTGAGATGACTTCCAAGCTGAAGAGCTATGAATTCCGGGGAAGCCCTTTCCAGGTGACCCGAGGGGACTATGCGCCCATCCTCCAGAAGGTGGTGGAGCAGCTGGAGAAAGCCAAGGTTGGACTGGCTGGGGACTGAGGTGTGCGGGCTGAGGACCCCTCTGGGCAGCAAAGCTGGTGTGGAGGTGGGTTGACCTCACACAAGGCTGATCGACTCCTACTCACCTCAGGTGTATGCAGCCAATGGCCACCAGGGGCAGATGCTGGCCCAGTATATAGAGAGCTTCACCCAGGGCTCCATCGAGGCCCACAAGAGGGGCTCCCGCTTCTGGATCCAGGACAAAGGCCCCATCGTGGAGAGGTGAGGCGCCAGCTCCACCCCACCCGCCCCCTCCATCCCGCCCCTCCTCCACCTCTGCCCTTCTCTCCCCCAGTTACATCGGGTTCATCGAGAGCTACCGTGACCCCTTTGGTTCCCGAGGAGAATTTGAAGGTAACTTCCTCGGGGAGGAGGAGGTCAGTCACAGTCCCTTCCCCCACATCCAAGTCCACGTTTCCAGTGTCCCCTGATGGTTCTCCCCACCCCCACTCGGCCATAACCATAACAATAACAATAGCCATGGTAAATAAACACCATTTACAGTATATTGGGCACTGTTGTAAGAAGCTTAGCTATATTAACTAATTTAGAGTTCATCACCCCATGAGGATGTTTATCCTCACTTAACAGGTGTGAGCACTGAGGCACAGTTGGGGGGTGACCCGGAAACTCTGGCTCTGAGCTACTTTGCTGTGCTGCTTCTGGTGTCTGGTCAGGGCACAGGCTCCAGGTAGACATGTGCCTCCCAAGCCTAGCTTCACCACTTCCAGGCTGTGTGACCTTGGGCCAAATAGCCTGACCTCAGCACCAGTGCGGTTAAGATGCAGACTGCTGCACTCAGTGGCTGGAAGCAGGATGGACATTGTGACTGGACCTGACCCGGGGCTGTCATCCCAGGCTGGTGGCAGGCTGCCTCGGCCCCCACCCCCTTCCCCAGGGGGCCCACCTGTGCAAGGCAGGGCATCCAGCCTGAGGATTCAGCCACTTCTCTGACTGCCCTAATCCTCCCCAGCCGCTGGATGTAGAAGAGTCTGAGCATCTGCCTGCTAAAGCTGGAGAGATTAGTCTGGGAGGAGAGCACACAGCCTGCTGGGGGTCAGGGGTGAGCCGCTAGACCCAGGCCCAGGGAGAAGGGGCAGGCGGCCCAGGGGCCTGAGGGAGAGACAGGTTTGTGCAGCTGCAGCTTTCCTGTCTAGGTCCTGACCTAGTAGGGCCCAGACCTGGGTCACTGCTGTCCCCAGCTGCCAGCCCAGGGTGACTGCATACAGTAGGCATTCAGTACATGCGTGATGGCTGGAGTAGGGTGAAGTGAGAGCCCTCCTGGAACCCTGCCAAGCCACAGCTCCCTCCCTCCCCTGCAGGTTTCGTAGCTGTGGTGAACAAGGCCATGAGTGCCAAGTTTGAGCGGCTAGTGGCGAGTGCAGAGCAGCTGCTGAAGGAGCTGCCCTGGCCCCCAGCCTTTGAGAAGGACAAGTTCCTCACCCCCGACTTCACCTCCCTGGATGTTCTCACCTTTGCTGGCTCCGGCATCCCTGCTGGTATCAATATCCCCAACTGTAAGTGTCGGCAGGCCCAGCCCCCGAGCCCCAGAAGCTTCCTTTTAGAGTCACCCCTCTCTCTCCACACACACACTCTCCACAAACTGCCCTGTGCCTCTTGTCTGTGACCTTTGACCCTTGCCTCTTCTTCCTGGTCCTTCTCCAGACGATGACCTGAGGCAGACGGAAGGCTTTAAGAACGTGTCGCTGGGGAATGTGCTGGCTGTGGCCTACGCCACGCAGCGGGAGAAGCTCACCTTTCTGGAGGAGGATGACAAGGTGGGTGCCAGCAGTTGGAGGGTCGGGGCTGGGCCTCACCTTCCTCAGCAGACTTGGGAAGGCAGACAGCCCAGAACAGTAGAGAGGAAAGCACACAGCTTCCGTCCTGGCTCTGCCACTTCCCAACCACATGACCGTGCAGACTTTGGAGCCTCGGTTTCCTCTCGGGTCACACTAGGGAGGCATCCCTCCCTTCCTCCTGGGTTGTTGCAAGGATGAGATGGGCTGTGGGGTGGAGCACAGTCGGCCTTTACCAAGTACATGCACTGAGATGGGCCCATGGCCCGGGGGAGGGGAGGCCGACAGGCTCTGTGGCCAGGGCCGGCCAGTGGACGGCGCAGGTCTCTGCTTGTCTTGGCAGGATCTGTACATCCTCTGGAAGGGGCCCTCCTTCGATGTGCAGGTGGGCCTGCATGAGCTGCTGGGCCATGGCAGTGGCAAGCTCTTCGTACAGGTAAGAAGGCAGCAGCCAGCCCTGGCACCCCAGCCCACAGCTCCACTCCCCACAACCTGCCCTACCCAGTGGTGAAGCTGCTCTAGCCTCTGCCCTCAGGGGCTGTGGGTTGGGTGGGGAAAACGGCCCCTTAAGCAGAAAAGACCCTGTCTTGCCCTTCCTCAAGATGTCCCAGGAGCTCAGATGCCTGGGTGTAGAGCCGGGGTGTAGAGGGCTCTGTCACTTCCTACCATACACAAATCATGAGTCCTCTCTGAACCTCAGTATCCTCATCTGTAAAATGGGCTGCTTTGAGGATTATAGAGAATCCTTAAACAAACAGTATTGGTATTAATTTAAATCAGGGAGGCAAAATAATCAAAGTGGAGGTGGCCCAGACTCAGATCTCAGACAGATCAGGGCCGAAAAACCCCAGCTCAGCTGGGGACAGTTCAGCTGCTGTTCCCCACACCAGGAGGAATTACTTGGCTCAGGCTAAGGAAGCACACCCTAAGGGCATGGCTCCAGCAGCCCCAGGACAGACACTGGGGGTAGGGGGCATCTCTGGGTGCTCCCATCTGAGGCAGCAGTGCTATCTTTGTTTGCGCTGCTGTTCCGTAGAACCTGGGCTTTTCCAGGTATCGTAGGGAGCCACTTCTCCCCAGAGCAGCCCCTTCTTGCCAGCCAGCCAGTGTGACTGGAGTCCCCTCCACACCTATCCAGGGAATATGGAAACACAGACAACCTTTTATGGGGGGCTGAAAAGCTGATGTGGACCCCCAGCATGGAGATGACCAGAAGTGGGGTGGGGTGTGGCCCCTCCCTTCCAAGGGCAGGCTTCTTGGTGGGCCCTGCTTCTTGGGGTGTGGGGCTGCTTCCCTGGATGGGGAAGGGCTGGAACTGGGCCCCGGGGTCAGGAGGATGCGCAGAACAGCTGCTGAGGCAGCAGGCTGGCGAAACGCCTTGCCAGACTTTATCCAGGCTGTGTGTGGCCTTGGATAAGTCAGCTCCTTCACCAACCCTCAGTTGGCCCATCTGTAAAATGAGATTCCTGACCCCTGCTGTGTGGGCCCTTGTGAGGAGTAAAGGTGAAGACAGTAAGCCCTGACGCACAGTAGGTCCTCAGCAAACAGGTATTAGTGTTGAGACAGTGTCCACGGAGGTTGTGTGCTCTGACTCCAGTTTGGGGCTCTTAGGCTCCAAGGCTCAGTTTCCTCGTCTGTGAAGTGGGATAATAGTAACACTGTCCTCGGAAGATGATTGCGAGGATTAAAAGGATGCTGCATGAAAGACGCGTGGCATGCAGTGGGACTGGCAGTGCCAGGAGCCGGGCCAGAAGCCCGTGGTGGGCACAGCTGGGCTCTCTGGCCCACCCATTGGAGCATCTCCTACTGGGGCCTGGAGACACCAGATCTGGGTCCTCACAGGACTTGGGGCAAGTTCCTCGACTGTCTGGCCCTCGGTTCTCCTCTCTGTGCGGTGGGGTAGGCATCTCTGGTTTTCATGTTCCTGATGGCTCTGAGGAGGCAGCCAGCGTCACAGGGCTCAGGGCTGTGCAGGCATCAGTGTGTGGACGGACCTGCTGCTCCTGCGCTCCCGCTTGCCTTCCTGAGCCACTCTCTGGGCCCGTGGATTCTGGCGCTAGAGGCTTGGATCCAGCTGGGGGTGCCTTTCCCTCACCCACCCTGTGTTCTGCAGGATGAAAAAGGAGCATTCAACTTTGACCAGGAGACAGTGATCAACCCAGAGACGGGCGAGCAGGTGAGGGAGGCCTCAGTGGAGCCCCAGGGTGCTGGGAGGGTGGGCACAGGTGGGGTGGGGCAGTGGCCACCCTAAGCCTGACAGTGGAGCCCTTTTACCAGATTCAGAGCTGGTATCGGAGCGGGGAGACCTGGGACAGCAAGTTCAGCACCATCGCCTCCAGCTACGAAGAGTGCCGGGCTGAGAGCGTGGGCCTCTACCTCTGTCTCCACCCGGAAGTGCTGGAGTAAGAGCAGCAAAGCCGTGGGGTGGGCTGTCCCGGTGCAGTGGCCAGCCCTGGGGGCATGGAGGGTGGGTGGTGGCGGCCGGTGGAATGGGGACAGGGCAGCCTCTGACCATCCTGCCACCTGCCTGCCCCTCTCACAGGATCTTTGGCTTTGAGGGGGCTGATGCAGAGGACGTGATCTACGTGAACTGGCTCAACATGGTTCGGGCCGGGCTGCTCGCTCTGGAGTTCTACACACCTGAGGCCTCCAACTGGCGACAGGTGGGGCCTGAGTGGGGCCCCCAGGAGGCGGAAGGGAGCCTGCAGTGGGCGCCAAGATCAGGGTGCAAGGATGGGACCACTGTACCTTTAAGGCAGATGAACAGGGTTTAATGCCAGACTCCACTGTTTGGGAGGCAAGTCACATCACTCTCGTGAGCCCCAGAATTCCTCTCTGTGAAGTGGGAGTAGGACTCTCCCCGGCCACCATTTCACGGTGAATCAGATGAGGTGATTTTGTTAGGACTCCTCGCAGTTGACGCCCTCTGTGCCACACACAATTCTAAGCGCCCTCCATGAATTCACTACACCAGGAGGTAGATGCTGTTGTTACCCTCATTTTAGAGAAGAGGAAGTTGAGGCACAAGGAGATGAACAACTTGCCATTAAGTGGCAGAGCCAGGATTCGCATCTATACGGTGCCTCCAGGGCCATTCAGCACCACGGCTCCATTTTGTGTCCTTTGGACATGGGGTAAGCGATAGAAATTTTTTTTCTTTTTCTTTTTCTTTTTTTTTTTTTTGAGACAGAGTCTCGCTCTGTCACCAGGTTGGAGTGCAGGGGCGTGATCTTGGCTCACTGCAACCTCTGCCTCCCGGGTTCAAGTGATTCCCCTCCCTCAGCCTCCTGAGTAGCTGGGACTACAGGCGCATACCACCACGCCCGGCTAATTTTTTGTATTTTTTAGTAGAGACAGGGTTTCACCGTGTTAGCCAGGATGGTCTCGATCCCTTGACCTCATCATGATCCACCCGCCTCAGCCTCCCAAAGTGCTGGGATTACAGGCGTGAGCCACCGCGCCCTGCCAGCAATAGAAACTTTTTGACAAAATCAGATGGGTGTGGTTTGAGGAGGTGATGTGACATCATTCAGGGTCCAGAAATGTGGGTCTGAGTTGTGGCTCTTCCTTTACTAGCTGTGTGCCCCTAAAGAAGTCCCTCCACTTCTCTGGGCCTCTGTTTTATCATCTGCAAACTGGGGATAATGACGCTTACTTGGTTCCCCTTTTGAGCACAAACAGGGTTGTGGAGGAGAAAGTGTTTGGGGACCCTGGAGGGGGTAGCTGCTGTCCTCAGCGGGGGATCTGGAGCAGCAGGGATCATGGTGGGTGACATGCGGAGCATGGGCACCAGGTCCTACCTGGAAATGGCCTCCCTGTCTCCTAGTGCAACCTGCTCTCTCTGTTAGCAGAGGAAGGAGGAAGCATTTGAGGGGAGGGGAATAAGCAGAAAAGGACCCACAGGGTGGGGGAGAATGACAATAACAGTTGCCAATAAATGAGCAACTGGGACCAAGGACCAAGCCTAGGACCAAGCACTTGATACGGGCTACAAATGCTGTCTTTCCCTGCCCCGGCAGGCCCATATGCAGGCCCGGTTTGTGATCCTGAGAGTCTTGCTGGAGGCTGGCGAGGGACTCGTTACCATCACTCCCACCACAGGCTCTGATGGGCGCCCAGATGCCCGGGTCCGCCTCGACCGCAGCAAGATCCGGTCTGTGGGCAAGCCTGCTCTAGAGCGCTTCCTGCGGAGGCTTCAGGTAAGCAAAGCCCTCTCACCTGGATGGGCCCCCGCCAACCTTTCCAGGGGCAGAGTGTTACCATGTGCCAGGCACGGAGAATAAGCTGTGAGCAGTTTCTTATGCTGCAGTGAGGAAAGGTAACCAGTAAACATGTAAGCACACCAGGTGCCTCACGCCTGTGATCCCAGCACTGTGGGAGGCCGAGGAGGGCGGATCACTTGAGCTCAGAAGTTCAACACTAGCCTGGGCAACATGGCAAAAACCTCGTCTCTACAAAAAATACAAAAATTAGCCAGGCATGGTAGTGCGCGCCTGTAGTTCCAGCTACTCCAGAAGCTGAAGTGGGAGGATCACTTGAGCCTGAGAGGTGGAGGCTGCAGTGAGCCATGATTGTACCACTACACTCCAGCCTGGGTGACAGAATGAGACCCTATCTCTAAAAAAAAAAAAAAAAAAAAAAGAATAAGGACATCTTTTATGTATTTATTTGTTTGTTTGTTTGTTTGTTTATTTTTGAGACAGAGTTTTGCTCTTGTTACCCAGGCTGGAGTAAAATGGCATGATCTCGGCTCACTGCAACCTTCTTCTCCCAGGTTCAAGTGATTCTCCTGCCTCAACCTCCCGAGTAGCTGGGATTGCAGGCTCCCGCCACCACACCCGGCTAATTTTTGTATTTTTAGTAGAGACAGGGTTTCACCATGTTGGCCACGCTGGTCTTGAACTCCTGACCTCAGGTGATCCACCCACCTTGACTTCCCAAAGTGCTGGGATTACAGGTGTGAGGCAACGCACCCAGCCAGGACATCTTTAAGAATGAAGGACATTTTTAGACAAACAAAAACAGTTTACCATTAATAAACCATCAGTAACAACACTTCTACAGGATATAATTTAGGAAAAAGAAACAGCCCCAGAGAGAAGGTTGGATAAGCTGTAAGAAATATGGCTGAGTGATGCTGAGAGTAAATATACAATATGAACTTTGTATACCAATAAAAATGCTCAATTTGGCTGCATGTGATGGCTCATGCCTGTAATCCTAGCACTTTGGTAGGCTAGATTCCTTGAGTCTAGGAGTTCAAGACCAGCCTAGGGAACATAGTGAGACCTCATCTCTACAAAAAATTTAAAAAATAGCCAAGTGTGGCCAGGCGCGGTGGCTCATGCCTGTAATCCCGGCACTTTGGGAGGCCAAGGCGGGCAGATCAACTGAGGTTGGGAGTTTGCAACCAGCCTGACCAACATGGAGAAACCCTGTCTCTACTAAAAATACAAAATTAGTCGGGTGTGGTGGTGCATACCTGTAATCCCAGCTACTCGGGAGGCTGAGGCAGGAGAATTGTTTGAACCCAGGAGGTGGAGGTTGTGGTGAGCCAAGATCGGGCCACTGCACTCCAGCCTGGGCAACAAGAGCAAAACTCCATCTCAAAAAAAAAAAGAAAAATTAAAAATAGCCAAGTATGGTGATGCACGCCTGTGGTCGTGGCCACACAGGAGGCTGAGATGGGAGGATTTCTTGAGCACAGGAGGTAGAGGCTGCAGTGAGCCCTGATTGCCACTGCACTCTAGCCTGGGCGACAGAGCTAGATTCTGTCTCTAAAAGAAAAAGAAAAGATAACATATTGATCAAAAGTTACCGTAAAGAAGGTGTCAAGTGTTACACTAGGATAGGATATTTACAACACATGTGGTTAGTCCCCGCTTATCCACAGTTTTGCTTTCTACGGCTGCAATTAGCTGCAATAAAATACAACAAGATATTTTTAGGATGGGTATGGTGGTTCACGCCTGTAATCCCAGCACTTTGGGAGGCCCAGACGGGCTGATCACCTGAGGTCAGCAGTTCAAGACCAGCCTGGCCAACATGGCAAAACCCTGTCTCTATTAAAAATACAAAAATTAGCTGGGCGTGGTGGCAGGCGCCTGTAATCCCAGCCACTCAGGAGGCTGAGGTATGAGAACCACTTGAATCTGGGAGTTGGAGGTTGCAGCGAGCCAAGATTGCATCACTGCCCTCCTGCTTGGGTGACACAGTGACACACTGCCTCAAAAAGAAAAAAAAGATACTTGAGAGAGAGGCTGTATTCACCTAACTTTTATGGCATTATTTTGTTACATTTGTTCTATTTTATTAGTAGTTATTGTTAATCTCTTCTTGTGCCTAACTTATAAATTAAACTTTCTCATAGGTGTGTGTGTATGGTGAACAAACAGTGTATATATAGGGCCCTGTACTACATGGTCTTGGAACACATCCTCCATGTATCTGTGGGGACTACTGTACTAACAAAGGGTTCATATCTAAAATACATAAAGAACTTTTCAGCCGAGCACAGTCGCTCCTGCCTATAATCCCAGCACTTTGGGAGGCCAAGGCAGATGGATCACTTGAGGTCAGGAGTTTGAGAACAGCCTGGACAACATGGTGAAACCCATCTCTACCAAAAATATAAAAAATTAGCCGGGCGTATTGGCAGGCGCTTGTAATCCCAGCTACTCAGGAGGCTAAGGCAGGAAAATCGCTCAAACCTGGAAGGTGGAGGTTGCAGTGAGCTGAGATCATGCCACTGCACTCCATCCTGGGCAACACAGCGAGACTCTGTTTCAAAAAATAAAGAAAGAAAAAACTTTTTTAAAAAAAAGTGAGGGGCCGGGCGTGGTGGCTCAAGCCTGTAATCCCAGCACTTTGGGAGGCCGAGACGGGCGGATCACGAGGTCAGGAGATCGAAACCATCCTGGCTAACACGGTGAAACCCCGTCTCTACTAAAAAATACAAAAAAGCTAGCTGGGCGAGGTGGCGGGCGCCTGTAGTCTCAGCTGCATGGGAGGCTGAGGCAGGAGAATGGCGTAAACCTGGGAGTCGGAGCTTGCAGTGAGCTGAGATCCGGCCACTGCACTCCAGCCCGGACGACAGAGCAAGACTCCGTCTCAAAAAAAAAAAAAAGAAAAAAAAAAAAGTGAGGGAGAAAAGATAACCCAACAGAAAATAAGCAAAAATGAGCAGAAGAGGAAAATGAATCGCCCTTGACCAACTAAGGGAAGATGCTCAACCTTGTTAGTAATTAGGTAAGCTCGACCTAAGCGACATATGTTACAGCTGAAACCCACCAGCATGGCAGAAATTAATAACTGCCAGCATCCACTTAGTAGACTGAGCAATGAGGACTGCCACCCACTGCTTTTGGAAGGCTGAATTACATATGAATTTCAAGAAACAGCAGCATCATCTCTTAAAGTTGTGCATTCCTGTTACCTACACAGAATCAGTTCTGGAAAAACTTGCATCTGTTCAGGAGACATACAGGGATGTTCACATCTGCATTATTAGCAGAAAGCACCAGCTGGGCGCAGTGGCTCACGCCTGTAATCCCAGCACTTTGGGAGGCCGAGGCGGGCAGATCACCTGAGGTCAGGAGTTTCAGACCAGCCTGGTTAACATGGTGAAACCCATCTCTACTAAAAGTACAAAAAGGCCAGGCGCGGTGGCTCATGCCTGTAATCCCAACACTTTGGGAGGCTGAGGCGGGCAGATCACCTGAGGTTAGGAGTTCAAGACCAGCGTGGCCAACATGGTGAAACCCCTTCTCTACTAAAACTAAAAAATTAGCCGGGTGTGGTGACATGTGCCTGTAGTCCCAGCTACTCGGGAGGCTGAGGCAGGAGAATCACTTGAACCCGGGAGGTGGAGGTTGCAGTGAGCCGAGATCGTGCCACTGCATTCCAGCCTGGTGACAGCGAGATTCCATCTCAAAAAAAAAAAAAAACAAAAAAGTACAATATCAAGGATAGTGGTTTCCTTAGATGGGGGCAGCCACAGAGTGCAGTCAAGCAGAAGCAGCAGAACCAACTCTGAGGTGAGGTGGGGGTTGTATGAGTATCTGTTTTTCTTTTTGGTGTTTTTTTTTGTTTGTTTGTTTTTTGTTTGTTTGTTTGTTTTTGAGATGGAGTCTCGCTCTGTCACCCAGGCTGGAATGCAGTGGCAAGTTCTTGGCTTATTGCAGCCTCCGTCTCCTGGGTTCAAGCGATTCTCCTGCCTCAGCCTCCCGAGTAGCTGGAATTACAGGCACGTGCCACCACACCCAGCTAATTTTGTTTGTTTGTTTGTTTTTGAGACGGAGTCTCGCTGTGTCTCCCAGGCTAGAGTGCAGTGGCTGCGATCTCGGCTCACTGCAAGCTCCACCTCCCAGGCCATTCTCCTGCCTCAGCCTCCCGAGTAGCTGGGACTACAGGCGCCCACCACCGTGCCTAGCTTATTTTTTATATTTTTAGTAGAGACGGGGTTTCACCGTGGTCTCGATCTCCTGACCTCGTGATCCGCCCACCTCGGCCTCCCATAGTGCTGGGATTACAGGCATGAGCCACCGCGCCCAGCCTTTTTTTTTTTTTTGAGACGAAGTCTCGCTCTGTTGCCCAGGCTGGAGTGCAGTGGCACGATCTCGGCTCACTACAGCCTCCACCCTCCAGGTTCATGCCATTCTCCTGCCTCAGCCTCCCGAGTAGCTGGGACTACAGGTGCCCGCCACCACGCCTGGCTAATTTTTTGTATTTTTAGTAGAGACAGCTAAAAGACACTGTGTTAGCCAGGATGGTCTCCATCTCCTGCCCTTGTGATCCACCCGCCTCAGCCTCCCAAAGTGCTGGGATTACAGGCATGAGCCATCGTGCCTGGCCAAACTTTTTGTATTTTTAATAGAGACGGGGTTTCACATTGTTAGCCAGGATGGTTTTGATCTACTGATCTCATGATCCGCCCGCCTCGTTCTCCCAAAGTGTTGGGATTACAGGCATGAGCTACTGCACCTGGCCCCAGTATCTGTTTTAATGTTATTTACGGTATACATACTATATCTTGTATGTGTAAGAAATGTTTTATTTTATTTTTATTTTATTTATTTATTTATTTTTGAGATAGAGTCTCACTTTGTCACCCAGGCTCGAGTGCAATGGTACAATCTTGGCTCACCGCAAACTTCACCTCCTGGATTCAAGCGATTCTCCCGCCTCAGCTTCCTGAATAGCTGGGACTACAGGCACCGCCATCATACCCGGCTAGTTTTTGTATTTTTGTAGAGACAGGGTTTCACCATGTTGGCCAAACTGGTCTTGAACTCCTGACCTCAGGTGATCTGCCCGCCTCGGCCTCCCAAAGTGCTGGGATTACAGGTGTGAGCCATCGCACCCAACCAGAAATGTTTTATTTTATAAAGGGTAATGGTCATACCTGCCTTGTTTACATGTCAGATGAGATAATCAAATGAGAAACATTAGCTTTAATTTTGTGGGCATTTACTCTGTGCTAATCATTGATCTGTGTTTCTCACTCATTCAGCGCATTAACACTGTGAGAGAGCAGAACTATTCCTGTTTAGAGATATTCCTGTTTAGGTATTAGAGATAGAGTGGTTTAGTAACTTGTCCGAGGTTACACTGCCTGTAAGTGACCGGGCCCAGCATTTTGCAGGGTGTCTTAGTCCGTTTTGTGCTGTTGTAACACACCAAAATACCAGAGGCTGGGTGATTTATAAAGAACAGAAATTGGCTAGGTGTGGTGGCTCACGCCTGTAATCCCAGCACTTTGGGAGGCCAGGTCAGGGCAGATCATGAGGTCAAGAGATGGAGACCAGCCTGGCTAACACAGTGAAACCCCATCTCTACTAAAAATACAAAAAATTAGCCGGACGTGGTGGCATGTGTCTGTAGTCCCAGCTACTCGGGAGGCTGAGATAGGAGAATTGCTTGAACCTGGGAAGCAGATGTTGCAGTGAGCCAAGATTGCTCCATTGCACTCCAGCCTGGGTGACAGAGCGAGACTCTGTCTCAAAAAAAAAAAAAAAAGTGTCTGGGTGTGGTGGCTCACGTCTGTAATCCCAGCACTTTGGGAGGCCGAGGCGGGCGGATCACGAGGTCAGGAGGTCAAGACCATCCTGGCTAACACGGTGAAACCCCGTCTCTACTAAAAATACAAAACGTTAGCTGGGTGTGGTGGCGGGCGCCTGTAGTCCCAGCTACCGGGAGGCTGAGGCAGGAGAATACCGTGGACCCGGGAGGCGGAGTTTGAAGTGAGCCAAGATCACACCACTGCACTCCAGTCTGGGCAACAGAGTGAGACTCTGTCTCAAAAAAAAGAACAGAAATTTATTTCTGACAGTTCTGGAGGTGGGGAAGTTCAAGATCAAGGCACCAGCTGGTTCATTGTCTGGTGAAGGCTGCTCTCCCCTTCCATCCAAGATGATACCTTGTTGACGAATTATTTGGAGGAGAGGACTGGAAGGAATGCTGTGGCCTCACATGAGAGAAGGCAAAAGGGCAACAGGGCCAAACAGGCATGAAGGCTGTTTTCCTTTTTCTTTCTTTCTTTTCCTTTTTTTAGAGATGAGACAAGGTCTCACTATGTTAACCAGGCTGGTCTCAAACTCCTGAGCTCAAGTAATCCTCTCACCTCAGCCTCCCCAAGTGCCCAGGATTGCAGGCATGAGCCACCATGGCTGGCCTTTTATTTATTTATTTACTTTTTCCATAGAGATAGGGTCTTGCCACATTGTCCAGGCTGGTCTCAAACTCCTGGGCTCAAGTGATCCCCTGCCTCCTTCTCCCAAGGTACTAACATTACAGATGTGAGCCACCACACCCAGCTTGAAGTCTCTTTTATAAGGGCCTTAATCCCATTTCTGAGGAAGGAGCCTTAATGGTTAAGTTGAAACTTAACCATAAGTTTCAACAGCGGAATTTGGGAGGGGACACATTCAAACCATAGCACAGACTGTCCGGGGCTGACCACAATCAGCTGTGGCCTGTGGCAGAGCCCTGTGGACACCGGGTAAGTGCCCATCCTAGACATTTACTCCATCCTTCCCACAGGTGCTGAAGTCCACAGGGGATGTGGCTGGAGGGCGGGCCCTGTACGAGGGGTATGCGGCAGTCACTGATACGCCCCCGGAGTGCTTCCTCACCCTCAGGGACACAGTGCTGCTGCGTAAGGAATCTCGGAAGCTCATCGTTCAGCCCAACACTCGCCTTGAAGGTAATGGACTCTTGAGCTCCCTTAATGAGCACCACACAGGGCCCTCTGGGAAGCAATAAGAACCCATCCCAGGGCTCAGGGAGAGCAGCCTGGGATGGCCCTTCCCTTTCTGCCAGGGTCCTTCCCATGCCAAACCTCAGGCCCTAATCTTGGTATCGGTCACCACCCACCACCCCCCCAACACACACACAGTCATGCGAGTTGTAAGACAGTGACAGAAGATTTGAAGAATACCACCAGAGCAGGGGATAGCAGAACATGCAGACTTAGGGGGAAGCCAGGCATTTGTACCAAAGAATTAGACCTGTTGGGTACCCAGGCTGGGGGTCAGGTCAGGAGGGAGCTGGGACCCAGCAAGCCTAGTGAAACCCAGGGGACAGTGTGACTTGGTCGCATCCGGGATGGTGATCAACAGCTGCATCATCCCTCTTCCTTCTCAAGCGACAATTCCGGAGCCTCGCCCTGGCCACACGGTGCTTGTATCTTTTGAATTCAAACCCCCTGGGGACCCAGCCCCTGACTGCCTTCACTTTCCTCTCACCCCTTGATTCATCTTTCCTGCTACTTGTCACTTGAGACACCTAAGATGATGTGGTGTTATGGAGTGGTTAGAGCACCAGCTTCAGAACCGCCCTCTGACCTTGGCCTAGTCATTTGACCTTTCTAGACTTTGGTGTCTTCATTCACAAAGCCAGTGCGGACCGCTTGCTGATATTATAGTGAACCTGAATTCCTTCTTAGAGTTTCTAAGTGCTTTCTGGGGATTAACCTTTTAAATCCGCACAATAGCCCAATAAGGTAGGTATTTTTGTTATCCCCATTTTACAGGTAAGGAAACTGAGGCACAGAGAGTAATTTGAGTAATTTGTACAAGGCTTATGCCTTTTTAGTGGAGAAGCCAAGAGTCAAATTAAGAGTGGTTGAGTCAGGCATGGTGGCCCCTGCCTGTAGTCCCAGCTACTTGAAAGGGTGAGGTGGGAGGATCGCTTGAGCCTAGGAGTTCAAGACTGCAGAGCAAGACCTCAACTCTTCAAAAAAAAAAAAAAAAAAAAAAAAAAAAGCATTGTCCTGGGCAGTTCTGAGGGTTAAATAGAATAATATTTGTAAAAAGTCATTACCTGGCCGGGCGCGGTGGCTCAAGCCTGTAATCCCAGCACTTTGGGAGGCCGAGACGGGTAGAATAATATTTGTAAAAAGTCATTACCTGGCTGGGCGCGGTGGCTCAAGCCTGTAATCCCAGCACTTTGGGAGGCCGAGACGGGCGGATCACGAGGTCAGAGATCGAGACCATCCTGGCTAACACGGTGAAACCCCGTCTCTACTAAAAATACAAAAAACTAGCCGGGCCAGGTGGCGGGCGCCTGTAGTCCCAGCTACTCCGGGAGGCTGAGGCAGGAGAATGGCGCGAACCTGGGAGGCGGAGCTTGCAGTGAGCTGAGATCGCTCCACTGCACTCCAGCCTGGGTGACAGAACGAGACTCCGTCTCAAAAAAAAAAAAAAAAAAAAAAAAAGTCATTACCTATTATTGGTGAGGAAAAAGCATTTATTTATTTGTTTTTTGGGTGGGTTTTTTTTTTTTTTTGAGATGGAGTCTCACTCTGTCTCCCAGGCTGGAGTGTAATGGTGCAATCTTGGTTCACTGCAGCCTCCGCCTCTGAGTTCAAGTGATTCTCCTGCCTCAGCCTTCCGAGTAGCTGGGATAACAGGTGCCTGCCACCACACCCAGCTAATTTTTTTTTTTTTTTTTTGAGACGGAGTCTCGCTCTGTCGCCTAGGCTGGAGTGCAGTGGTACGATCTCCACTCACTGCAACCTCTGCCTCCCGGGTTCATGCCATTCTCCTGGTTCAGCCTCCCGAGTAGCTGGGACTACAGGCACCCGCCACCGTGCCCACCTAATTTTTTGTGTTTTTAGTAGAGACGGGGTTTCACCGTGTTAGCCAGGATGGTCTCAATCTCCTGACCTCGTGATCCGCTCACCTCGGCCTCCCAGAGTGCTGGGATTACAGGCGTGAGCCACCGCACTTGGCTGCTAATTTTTTTTTTTTTTTTTTAGTAGAGATGGGATTTTACAATGTTGGCTAGGCTGATCTTGAACTCCTGACTTCAAGTGATCCTCCCACCTTGGCCTCACAAAGTGCTGGGATTATAGGCGTAAGCCACCGTACCCGGCCTTATTTTTTTATTTTTAGCTTTATTTATTTATTTTTTGAGACAGGGTCTCACTCTGTCACCCAGGCTGGAGTACAGTGGTGTGACCTTGGCTCACTGCATCCTCTGCTTCCGGGGCTCAAGTAATTCTGTAGCCTCAGCCTCCCGAGCATCTGGCACTACACACCCGGCTAAGTTTTGTATTTTTTGTAGAGACAGGATTTCTCCATGTTGGCCTGGCTGGTCTTAAACTCCTGAGCTCAAAGTGATCCACCCTCCTCGGCCTCCCAAAGTGCTGCGATTACAGGTGTGAGCCACCATGCCCAGTGGAAAAAGCTTTTATTTTATTTCTTTCTGAGATGGAGTTTCCCTCTTGTTGCCCAGGCTGGAGTGCAATGGCGCAATCTTGGCTCATTGCAACCGCTGCCTCCCGGGTTCAAGCGATTCTCCTGCCTCAGCCTCCTGAGTAGCTGGGATTACAATAGGCATGTGCCACCATGCCTGGCTAATTTTTGTATTTTTAGTAGAGACAGGGTTTTGCCATGTTGGCCAGGCTGGTCTCGAACTCCTGACCTCAGGTGATCCGCCCTCCTCAGCCTCCCAAAGTGTTGGGATTACAGGCGTGAGCCACCGTGCCTGGCTGGAAAAAGCATTTATTAAGACGCTCATTCTAGATGCTTTTCCGTGCCCTCCAGAGGCTTCCTGGGATTTGGCCCCAACCTTTGCCAGCCTCACCACCTCTTCTCTGGCTTACTGTACTCCGGGCTCCCGACCCTTCTGTTTCTTCTACCCACTGAGCTCGCTCCACTCCTACAGCCTTTAAATAGGCTGTTCTTGCTGCTTGGCATGATCTTCCTCCAGATCTTTGCCTGTCTGGTTCTTTTTGTCCTTCAGCTCCTTGTAAAATGGCACCTTGTGAGAGAGGTTGTCTCTGACCCCTCAACCTAAAGTAACTGCTTCAGTCCCTCTCTATTCTGCCACCCAGCTTTATTTTCTTCATGTGCCCATCACGCTTGCCCATTTTTTTGGTGGTCACATCTCATGATGGGAGGAGCAGCATACACCAGTGCCTCATGCACAGCCTGGCACATTGGAGTTGCTCAGTGGCTGTCAAATGAGTGCATTAACAAATCATGCCAGCCACATGGACAGTACCATCAATTGCTTTGATATGTCCAGCCCTGTGCGAGCCATGGGGGAGCCACTGGGGACCCGGAGGTGATGACAGCTCATTGGGGATGATAAGATATGGAGATAAATAATCATACAAAGGAAGTGTTAATGAGCAGCCAAAAGATATAAACAGAACTCTGAACACTTAGAGGAGGGAAGATCGCATCCATCTTTAAGAGGATCTGGGAACGTTCTGGGGAGGAAGTGGTGGTTCCCACTAGATCTGAAGAACAGGTTGGATTTTCAAAGGCTGTGATGGTGATGCACTGTAAAAACTTTTTTTTTTTTTTTTTTTTTTTTGAGGTGGAGTCTCACTCTGTCCCGCAGGCAGTGGTGAGATCTCGGCTCACTGCAACCTCCACCTCCCGAATCAAACAATTCTCCGGCCTCAGCCTCCTGAAAAGCTGGGATTACAGGCGCCCACCAACATGCCTGGCTAATTTTGTATTTTTAGTAGAGATGGGGTTTCACCATGTTGACCAGGCTGATCTCAAACTCCTGACCTCAAGTGATCCACCTGCCTCAGCCTCCCAAAGTGCTGGGATTACAGGCGTGAGCCACCACACCCAGCCAGGTCACTGTAAAAGTTTTCTACGGATTAACTCCTAACAACCCAGAGAGAAATGGTTATTATCCTCATTTTTCAGCCGGAAAATGAGGCACAGAGGCACAGTATTTGCCTGCGGTCACACAGCTTTTGGGTGGCACAGCCAGAACTTGAACTCCAGAGCCTGTGCTCTTTGCTGCCTGTACACCTTGCGATGTCATGGAACATGACAAGTTGCAGAGAGAGGCTAGAGCAGTTGAAATGTGTTTGAGGGCAGTACTTCCCAGGAGTATTCAGGGGACCCTCAGAACAGCCCATTTAACAAATTGGTAAACAGGCTCGGAGATAATGATGCCATGGTGGCTAGCATTTGTTGAGCACCCCTTCGATGTGTGACTATGTCATCACCACAGCTCCTTTACAGATGAGGAGACTGAAGCTTAGGAGGTTGGGAAACTTGCCCCAGGTCCCACAGTAGACAGATGAAGTCGTTGCTGGACTGTGAGCTTCAGGACACCAAGGACTGTATCTGTTTCACCTAGTGTGGCACCTGGTGTAAATCTTTTATTATTTATTTATTTATTTATTGAGGTGGAGTCTCACTCTGTCGCCCAGGCTGGAGTATAGTGGCATGATCTCCATTCACTGCAACCTCTGCCACCCAGGTTCAAGCGATTCTCCAGCCTCAGCCTCCCGAGTAGCTGGGACTACGGGCACGTGCCACCACGCCCAGCTAATTTTTTTGTATGTTTAGTATAGACAGTGTTTCACCATGTTGGCCAGGCTTGTCTCAAACTCCTGACCTCAGGTGATCCTCCCGCCTCAGCCTCCCAAGGTGCTGGGATTACAGGCATGAGCTACCGTGCCCAGCCTAAATCTTTATTTGACTGACTGAATGAATGAAAGCAGCAATGCATTTAATACTCCCCCTGTAGTATTTCCTTCCTCACAGGGTTAGTGTAAAGAGTAAATTAAGTAATTAACCTAAAACGTAGAGCACAGGTTCTTTTTGGCAGAGCTCAATAAGAAACAGCTGCTGCTGTGATTGTGATTATTAAGACTATTATGATGATTCAGTTTCCCTATTCAAACCTTTCCCTGCTGCTATTTTATCTCCATCTCCTCCCCAGACTCAGACGTGCAGCTTCTGGAATACGAGGCCTCGGCTGCTGGCCTCATCCGATCCTTCTCCGAGCGTTTCCCAGAGGATGGACCCGAGTTGGAGGAGATCCTCACACAACTGGCCACAGCTGATGCCCGATTCTGGAAGGGCCCCAGTGAGGCCCCATCTGGCCAGGCTTGAGGAAGATGTGTGGCCTCTCCCCTAACTCCAAGAAACCAAGGCTGCAAGTGGCCCTCTGTTCGTGTGTGTTTTTAGGGGCTAGGGGAGGGGGAGGGGCAGGATCTCGGACCTTGGTACTACCTCAGCTGAGGGTGGTGACACTAACCCCTTCCATTTGTCAGCACTTTCCAGCTTGCCAAGTGCTTCCCCTCTGTGATCTCATTTCATCTGCACTGCCATACCTGGAGTGAGCAAGACAGGGCTCACCATCCTGTCTACCAGATGAGGAAATGGCAGTTCTGAGAAGTCACTGGTCTAGATTCCACAGGTGGCATGTGACAGCTAGGGTTCAAAATGTTCTCACCTAATCCAGTGCTCCTCACATATTAATTTTATAACCAGACAAATAAATATTAGAGACAACCACCATATTTGTGCGGCTCCTCCTTGCCTTTGTCTGTCTTCTCATTCGCTCCCAGCAGAGTGATGGGCTCAAGGCCTGGGGAGGGAGCAAGGAGGGCCATTTTTAGCCTCCCTTCCACAACAGGATGTTGACATTATCTCTAGATGAGGATATGTAGTCACAGAGCTGAACATAGCACAATTTTTCCAGCTCTCCTTTGTGGCATTCCTTGCATTTTTAAATGTTCCGGGGCCGGGCGCAGTGGCTCACACCTGTAATCCCAGCACTTTGGGAGGCCGAGGCGAGCAGATCACGAGGTCAGGAGTTTGAGACTAGCCTGGCCAATATGGTGAAACCTCGTCTCTACTAAAAAATAAAAAAATTAGGCCGGGCGCGGTGGCTCAAGCCTGTAATCCCAGCACTTTGGGAGGCCGAGACGGGCGGATCACGAGGTCAGGAGGCCGAGACAGGTGGATCACAAGATCAGGAGATCGAGACCATCCTGGCTAACACGGTGAAACCCCGTCTCTACTAAAAAAAAAAATACAAAAAACTAGCCAGGTGAGGTGGCGGGCACCTGTAGTCCCAGCTACTCGGGAGGCTGAGGCAGGAGAATGGCGTGAACCCGGGAGGCGGAGCTTGCAGTGAGCTGAGATCCGGCCACTGCACTCCAGCCTGGGCAACAGAGTGAGACTCCGTCTCAAAAAAAAAAAAAAAAAAAAAAATTAGCTGGGCATGGTGGCTACTGTAATCCCAGCTACTCTGGAGGCTGAGGCAGGAGAATGGCGTGAACCCGGGAGGCGGAGGTTGCAGTGAGCTGAGATCGTGCCATTGCACTCCAGCCCTGGCGACAGAGCGAGACTCCATCTCAAAAAAAAAAAAAAAAGTTGTGGGAATCTACAAACTCAACTTAAGTCAGAATCCTCTGCATTTGCCCCATAACCTTCATGTTTTGTTTCTCTGGGCCTGGACCTCTACAGTAAGGCAGCAAGACAGGACCTGACCCCTTTTCAACCGGGTAACCGTGAAGATGGAGACAGGAGGAGTTTGTTTTGCTGCTCATAAATGCAAGAAGGGGCTTCTTTCCAACCCTGGAAGCCAAAGGGCCCTGTGGCTGACCCAGAGACTGGAAGACCCAGACGCCTGGAAAGGCGGCTCTGACTGGGAAGGAGCAAAGATAAATAAGCTGGGAGAGATTCCCCAACCCAGGAGGGTGGCCAGCGCGTCCTCCTCAGCCTGGAAGGAAAAGCTTGGCGCCCGGAACCTTTGTACTCGCGCTTCCCAGCGCTCGGGCACTATTGGGCGTTACGCGGCGGCGGGGGAGGGGCCGGTTGCCAGGACGACGCCTGCGAAGATGGCCGCTGCGTCCTCATCGGATTACAACGGCTGCGGAGCTGAGAGGTGAAGGCAGGGCCCCTCAAGGCTTCTTTTCCCACCCGTGTAAAGAGGGTCCCTTGGTCCCCGGGTTCGGGGCTCCTGCTGTTCTCGGGCAGTCTGGAAGGACTCTTATAGAGGTCAAATAGGGAAACCGAGGCCTAAGATGTGCATATGTGTGTCTGGAGGTCGCTCGGTGAGCCAGTGGCGGAGCCTGGACTTGTACCCAGACGTTCTGTACCTTACGTTCACAGTGACCTGTACCAGCTTACTCAAAGTTTTCTTCCCCTTCCATGGGACTCACTCCCCAACTCTTTCCCCCACTCCCAGCAATGAGGCCAATTCGAAATGGTTGGATGCGCACTACGACCCAATGGCCAACATCCACACCTTTTCTGCCTGCCTAGGTGAGTCTCTGGAACCAGGAACCCTGGGTTCTAGTGGGATGGGGAGTCAGACAATGGTCCTGTAGTGAAGCCTCTGGAATATCTGAGACCCTGGTTTTGGCCCTTTTGTTTTCCAGCGCTGGCAGATTTGCATGGGGATGGGGAATACAAGGTAAGCATATCACCCTCTCAGGAGAGTTGAGGGTAGGGGGATGTACCCAGAAATGAGATTTCCCGACGGCTGAAAAGAGGCCCAGCATACTCTGGAATTCACATATACTGTGAAAAAGCACATTTAGCTTTAAATTTTGTTTTTATGTGGAAAATGAGGAGAACGTATTAATTTCATAATACAGACTGCAGAAAGTAAAGCAGATCAAATATTTCTAGGGATTCTACTAAGACAAAGCCTCTTACTTTAGTTAACATGATTTCCTTGTTGGAAGGGCAAATCCCTTGGTTGGTGGGGGGCGGCATTAGAATCTGGAGGGAAAGTAAAAGGGAGGGAAGTGAACGTTTTGTTTATCAAAAGATTTTAAGATTGGCCATGAGCTGTCAATTGTTGAAGCTGGATAATGGGATATATGGGGGTTCACTATATCTCTTTACTTTTGTATGTGGATGAAAATTTTCCATGGTAAAAATGTTAAATTTTACATTTAATTTTAAGGCCAGCATGGTGGCTCACGCCTGTAATCCCAGCACTTTGGGAAGCTGAGGCGGGTGGATCACTTGAAATCAGGAGTTCAAGACCAGCCTGTCCAACATGGTGAAACACCATCTCTACTAAAAATACAAAAATTAGCCGGGCATGGTGGTGGGCAACGGTAATCCTAGCTACTTGGGAGGCTGAGGCAGGAGAATCGGTTGAACCCAGGAGGTGGAGGTTGAGTGAGCCGAGATCATGCCGCTATACTCCAGCCTGGATGACAGAGTGAGACTCCATTTCAAAAAAAAAAAAAAAATATATATATATATATATATATATATATATATATATAAATTTTAAATAAAAAATATATTTTAAAATAAATATATATTTAATTTTAAATAAAAATGTAAATAAAGTTTAAAAGATGTAAATTTTTTAAAGGTAGAGAAATATATTCGGATAAAAGAAAGGAAGTTAGCATGGATTCAGTATCCATTTCTGGACTAGACCTTCCGTGGAGGCACATAAACATAGATTTTATTTATTCCCATTTTGTGAATGGGAAAATAGTTTCAAAGAGGTTAAGTTTACTTAATTTGTAACTGGGTCTGTTTGATTTTAAGTCTTGTGCTTTTTCCCCATAGCTCACTCACCATGGGCAATGACACCATGATAGATAAATCATGTGGGTAGCTAGAAGATTGTCCTGGAATCCTACCCCACATAGAGAGTGCAATAGGACTCAGTGGTTTTTGCCCCCAAATTCCTATCCATAATGCATTCAGTAATTCAGCAAGTGTATAGTGAGTCCCTACTGTGTGTCAGGCATTGTTGGGACTCTACACTTAGAAATACATCAGCATGTAGTCAGGAGGATATACAGACACTGTCAACAATTATTCCATGATATTGATTGAACACCTAGTTAGTATTTGGCTCTGGGCTTACAGTAGTGAGAGAAGAGAAACCACAGACACAGTAGCTAATAAGAAATGTTAGCCAGGCGCAGTGGCTCATGCCTGTAATCCCAGGACTTTACGAGGCCAAGGCAGGTAGATCACGAGGTGGAGTTCGAGACCAGCCTGGCCAACATGGTGAAACCCCATCTGTACTAAAATACAAAAATCAGCCAGGCATGGTGGCGGGCGCCTGTAATCCCAGCTACTTGAGAGGCTGAGGCAGGAGAATGACTTGAAACTGGAAGGTGGAGTTTTCAGTGAGCTGAAATCACGCCATTGCACTCCAACCTGGGTGACAGAGCAAGACTCCGTCTTAAAAAAACAAAAGAAAGAAATGTTAAATACCTTCACATAATAGAATGTTTAATGGCTAGTTTATTCACCATTGAGTCCCAGCATCTAGCCCAGTGCCTGGCACAAAGTATGTACTTGATAAATATTTGTGAGGAAGTGAGTAGATGCTAAAATTGAACATGTGGAAAGTATTATGGGGGCACCAATGAGAACAATGGATTCTATCTGGAGGCACCAGGAAGCAGTAATGTGTAAACTGGGCATTTAAGGATGAATGAAGTCTATCAAGAAGTCAAGGATGAGAGGATGGGGAAGGCATTTCAGGTAGAAGAAACAGCAAAAGCAGAGGCACAGAGGCTTAGAAGTTCATAGCATACTTGGAAAGAATAAATGTGAAGTTAGAAAGTTGAGGCCCATATAAAATAACTACCACATAAAAAAGTAGTTAAGACTATGGCTTTGGGTTCAGACAGACCTAGCTCTACCACTTTATAGCTGTGTGACTTTACTTAATATCTCTAAGACACAGCTTCCTCATTTGAGAAATGAGGCTAATAATGGTACCTGCTTCACAAGGTTGTTGAAAGTCGGGTGTAGTGGCACACATCTGTAGTCCTAGCTGCTTGGGAGGCTAAGGTGGGAAGATCCCTTAAGCCCAGGAGTTTGAGGCTGCAGTGACCCATGATTGCACCACTGCACTCCAGCCTAGGTGACAGAGCAAGACCCAGTCTCTTAAAAATAATAAGATTGGGCCGGGCGCGGTGGCTCAAGCCTGTAATCCCAGCACTTTGGGAGGCCGAGACGGGCGGATCACGAGGTCAGGAGATCGAGACCATCCTGGCTAACACAGTGAAACCCTGTCTCTACTAAAAAAAAAAAATACAAAAAACTAGCCGGGCGAGGTGGCGGGCGCCTATAGTCCCAGCTACTCGGGAGGCTGAGGCAGGAGAATGGCATAAACCCGGGAGGCGGAGCTTGCAGTGAGCTGAGATCCGGCCACTGCACTCCAGCCTGGGTGACAGAGCCAGACTCTGTCTCAAAAAAAAAAAAAAATAAAATAAAATAATAATAATAATAAGATTGTCGGCCGGGTGCAGTGGCTCACGCCTGTAATCCCAGCACTTTGGGAGGCCGAGGCGGTTTGATCACAAGGTAAGGAGATCGAGACCACGGTGAAACCCCGTCTCTACTGAAAATACAAAAAAATTAGCTGGGGCCGGGCGCAGTGGCTCACGCCTGTAATCCCAGCACTTTGGGAGGCAGGCGTTTGAGTGGCTCACGCCTGTAATCCCAGCACTTTGGGAGGCCGAGGCGGTTTGATCACAAGGTAAGGAGATCGAGACCACGGTGAAACCCCGTCTCT